TCAGATCATTTATAAACATCAGTTCATGTAAGTTTATTTTGAAGATTAAGTCATTCAAATCTCGAAAGCTTTTATCGGCTCCTTATGATTTTTATATTCGAATTCGACTGTATATGTTAAGTCGCTATTTTTTTTAACTTTTCGATCAATTCATTAGAAGCAAATATCAAACTGTTTTCGACTACGCTTGTAGAGAATACGGTGATGAGTCTAAACCCAAAAAAATCAACAATATTAAGTGAACTCATATCCAAACAAACGTCCGAGTCTTTTTTCAAGCCTTTCACTTTGTTCTGTTGTAACAGATGACATTTTAGTAATGCCTCAGATTATAATCATCAAGAAGGAATAACGAACCGAGTCTGAATGAACTTTTTAAAAATACTTTTCAATTTATATATATATATATAAAATAGCTTCCAATAAAGTGAGTAGCTCTCAATAAATTATCTTCTAAGTAGTTTTTCAAAATTTCTTTCAATTACTACTCATTTTACTGACACTTTTTCAAAAAATATCTTGTGAAAATCTCTACAAATGCCAAACAAGAATATCTTCAAAAGTATCAGTGGAAAACTACATTTGATTATTGGTGTTATGTCCGAAAAAATTTCGCTCTCAACGTGGCTTTGTTTTTAAATTCATTCGTTCTCCTTCGATTAAACAGACTTCAGATTATTGTAAAATAGGCTTCCTATGATACTAAGTAGGTTGTTTCTAATAGAATTTAGAAAGGATGTTCAAGCAATTTTGTGACACTTCTCAAAGTCAGCCTTTTCGAAATGATAGATTGAAGCCAATGATTGCTTTTGTTACTTACACCACTCACCGTAGAAAAATAGTTTCCACAAGTTCTCCCTTGTCTCAAATGTAGATAAAAAGAATATATTCCTTCAACGTAGTAATGAACTTGAAGCCGTATAAAATTGAAAATCCTGTTTAACTAAATCAAAATTTTAGGGAGTTTGTATTGACGATTCTTAAAATTTAAATAAAGGAACACTTACAAGATGTTTTCTTTGGAAAGATATATGGAATGGAAAAAATACTCTTTCAACTGATAAAACTTTTCGTGGTCTACAAAATGTAATATTTAAAGTTTTTTTCTTCATTAATAAATAACAATGGAAAATTGAAACAATAAGAAAGAAAACTGCGAAATGAGTATAATGAGAGTTTAGTATTACTAGTCAGATATAATTAGTTTTCCTTTGATCTTATTGAAAGGATACTGCTAAGCGGTTTTGTAAAGAATATTATGCACTATGAATTGAAAAAATATGTGCGTCAAATTGTCAACAAGCGGATCAATATGCCTGAAATATTTAAAAGGTGATTCTTTTAATAGGTTGCCTATTCGATTCTGTACATGCATTTTCAAGATTGTTCATACATATTTTAACCGATAAAATACGGACTAACATTTGTATAGCAAAGTTTGATTAGCTAGATAAACTACTATTTCTTAACTATGACAGTACATATGGAACTTCAACCTATTTATATGATGGAATTTCAATATTGTCAATTACTATAATCTTAATATAGCATATCGAATGAAAATAATATTTTATGAAATATTATTATTATATTGTAAGTGTGATTAGAAAGAATATTTTCTTGCTTACTTGAAAATCGTTGTTGAAGTAGCAAGTGAATCAAATATTTCTTTGTCTTGCGATTGAATTCAACACTTTCAACCCAAAAGCAAACACCTGGTGTAATAAGTTCTTCTTCTTCTTCAGAATACTCAGATAATGGACTGAGATCAGCAATAAAGGCATACAACACTTTCATAATGAATAATGTGTTTCCAAATTCTTCGGCTTTTTCACGATTGCGACTACAAGATGTATAGGCTTGAAATGACCCAAATGCCTCTTTGTCTTTGGCCATATCTTCATATTTAGCGATCTGTTCTTTTGTCAGTTTGGCTCCTCGATAAAGTGTCTTTTTAAATGCCACTTTTTGATTAAATGGATCATCCCAGAGTAGTAAACAGAATGGACCTAATGTACGAACTTTACTTCGCCATACTTGTTCATGTTCTTTATCTCCAACTAATCTCATTGCTGCATTTAATGTTTTGTAGAGGAAACTTTCCAATGTGTAAAGATAAACACAAAGTTTCCATACTTCCTCCATACCAGCGTTCTTCTTTTCTCTTAGCATTTTAGCTAATTTTTCGGCTTCTCGTTGTTTTCCAATGTGTTTTCCTTCTTCAACAATACCGCAAGCAGCTTTTTCAATAAGCATCGGAATCATATTTGGCTTTTTTGAAGGTAAATCATCTGGTTGAAGTTTCAGGTCTCTTCTGACTTCGATGACAAAGGGACTTGTCCAACCGTATTGACCACCAAACGAACGTTCAGCACTAACAGGAAGGTCCATAAAACGTGTTTCTCGTAGATGTTTGTCTTGTCGCTCGCGCACGACTCGTTTTATTGGTCTTTGCCTATAATCATCAGTGTTCGATATTTGCAGATTACTTTCGAAATCAATATAATAATCATCCAATAAAGCTCGTTGTTGTTTGCTTTGAAATGCTTCTTCGATAATTAAATTTTCTAAATCCGAATAATGATTCCATATGATTGGCTCGGATGACGAAAATGGATTTGGATTTGCTTTCCACATCCATTCAACATGTTTTAAAGAATTATTTGGTGTTGCAGATGCATAGGAGGCCATAATAAACAATGTTTTTCTCTTGTTTTCAATATGGTAGATTGCTTTATTAACAAACTATTATTTTTATCTGAAAGCGTGAAAACAAACAATGATAATTGAAAAATAATAGAATAAGAAAACCTCACTCTTGAAGTCTTGTTAAATATTGAATTTTTGTAAAATTCTTTCAAGTCAGAGAAAATATTCTGAAATCATCGGAAGGTTCTTTATGTTTCCAAGAAAAAAATTACGAAAATCTACATATTTAGAATTCTTAAAATCCATTGTTCTCTTCTTCGAATTGAGTATATTCTACTTATTGTCCTTCTTCATCATTTTTTTTCCAAAATTTTAAATTTTACACTATATTTAAATAAGTCAATCAAATAAGACTTTTCTCATATATTTTTGGAAGAGTATGAAATTCGAGTAATATTTGGAATAATCATTATTATTTAAATTTATCCTTGGTTTTTTTCTATCGAAGAGTCTTTTCAGATCATTAATGTTATTCAATAGAATAACACAATATTAATAAATAGATATTGATTACACAACGCAAAACAATATATAGATCAGTTTTTTTTTATCAATTATCAAGGAAAGACTATTTTCAACTTTTTATTCTTATTTATTTGAAATTTTATTTTCATTCAGATGTAGTCTAACGAATGAATCGCAAAAGTTTAAAACAAAATATTTAGTAATTTCTAGTTTGGTTGGACTCTTCGCAGAACAATTAACATTGTTGATTTGGATATTGAATTCAGTGGTCTTCGAAATATGAACGTCACTATTATTTTGTAAGATTTTCTTAAAGAATAAAAAAGTAATCTTTAGAAGACTCCGAAAAAACAACATTTTAAGTGAAAAATTTTGCTGTGTATGTTCATATTTTCCTTATTGAGACTTGAAATCTCAAGAAAGAATGTTCACATTAGCGACGTGCGCATTGGTAATTAAAGGAACTTTTTATCGTCAAATTTTCGTCTTATTTGTTGCTCTATGATATTTCGTATAAGCAACGTTTCATTTCTTCATACTCATGTGAGAAGAGCAATATGAAGTCGAAACTATCGTGATGTATCATTTAATTAGAGAAGACGCGGTCATGCCAAAAATGATCTTCAACAGTGATGGTACACTTGATATAAAAATCGGCGTCTATTGGGCAACAAGAAACTGTGTATCTTTTCCTTAGAATAGAAAAACAAAAACATCTGTGTTATAATCTTTTTTTCTGCCTGCTACGATAACACTACTGTTGTAATATGCTTGCCTTTTGCCTATAGTGCGATGCAAGGTTTCTGTGCTGTAATCAGACGTGCAGAATCTGTATGTGTGCGCGCACGCGCGTGCGGGGAAATTTTTTGTGTTTGGGGAAATTTTTGAAAAATTATTGACTGCAGTAAAAATTTTAGGAAATTATTGGCTCTAGGAAAATTTCTGAGGAAAATTAGGGAAATTATTTTGTACGAATCATGGTATGAACTTGAAGCATAGATTCTAAAATTTGTTTTTAGTAGAGAACAATTAGTATAACTAATTTTCTTTTGATTCTTTTAACATTCGAATTCAGCGTATTATTCTTTCGATCTGTACATCTCATATATCACATCTTGTTTTGCTGTGTTGTTTTCTTCAAATGTGGGTGTTATCAAAGAAATTCGTCCAACTAAGGTTACAGTTAAAACTAGCTTTTGTTTTCTTTTTTCTTTATAATACACACGCCATGCACTAATAAACACACATTTATATTTTCATCGGGAAATATCCCCACTACGTAGCAGATCAAAGAAGAAAAAAGAAAAGAGAAAAGAGAAAAGAAGAAAGAACCGATATATATAAGACGAAACATTATCTTGAGAATAATAATGAAAAACATCATTGTCCCTTGCTTTTCTTATTGTTTATAACTCTTTGTTGGTTCTTTAAATCGGATTGAATCTTTTCTATTTGAACGTATAAAAATGTATCCAAGTAAAGAAAAAGTAACATGTTTTTATTGTGATTGGAATGGTCGCAGGGTTGCCACTTGTGTCGCTAGTATCTACGTCGTTGTCCGAATTGTCCGAATTACTCACGTTAACTGTAGCGATCACCTGGCAACCCTGAATGGTCGTAAAGACAAGGCGAATGATCATTGCAAAAAACACCATCCTGGTAAAATATTCAAATTAAAGATTGTTGAAAACAACATGGAGAAATTCTTTCAAAAGCAAATAAATCGTGAAACAACAACAACAGCAGATGTTATTAATGATGATGTACAAGAACAAGAGGAGGAGTGTTCTACTGTTGTCTCTCCGTCGCTATCTTCATTAAGTAACTCTCATGTATCACCTCCTTCGTCAACTTCTATTTGTACAAGTCCAACAACAAATTCAGTTTCGGATCAATTAGCATTAGTGTGAGTTGCAAAAACTAATTGATTTTACTGTATCAAATTCAAAGAAACTGATAAATGCGCCTGTTATTCAAGATCATTATTTAGAGTGGAAGTAACGTTGTTTAAATGAAATACAAGATAAAAATACTTTTAGTGTTTGGACAACTAACAGGAAAATATTGACATCCAAAGTGATGAAAACATTTTACACTATTATAGATTTATCGGAAGGAATAAATGATTTTCTTCATTTTTCTTCATTAATGATATTAAAAATTAGAAGTGAAGCTATTTGTGAATCAGCAGCATCGATATTAAAAGGTCATATTCACAATAACCGTTCTTTACAACACAAATCTTTGGATGATGAAGTATTTCTTCATTAGAATGCTCCACCGTTGCATTTAGCTGATAAAATTATTGAACAATCAATAGATGATTATTTTATAAACAAAAAGGACAAAACTTGGTTATTTTATAGGAAAAGTGAACAGTATCAACCATGGAAATTATTATCTCCTGTTTCACTCGTATTGAATCGTTTTCGAAGTGAACAAGTACCAAGACTACCAGAATTAAATTACGATTGATAAAAATCATTTTTTTAAATAACCTTTCTAGTTGTTGCTAGCATTATTTCTGTTTTATGTTTTTTTTACATATTCAGTTAAAGATTGGGTTGGGAAAAGACAATTCCTTCTATTTTCATAGTGGGGGAAATTTTTGGAGAATTATTATGCGTGCGGGGAAATTTTTTAATTTTACGGCAGATTCTGCACCTCTGGCTGTAATATATGCTTACTTTTGCATGCACTGTGTAGTAAATTTAGAGAAAAGTAAAGAACGTCATTTTTATTCCTTACATTTGGCAAAGCGGATTCATGAGGAAAAGTCCCTGATACTGTACGAAAATAAAGTATGAACCATAAGCAAGATGTTCACGAAAAATATATGATAATACCGTTAACTTGCCAGAAGATATCGAAAAAACAAAGCCATCTGTTAAATGTACGATTATTTTTGAATATCGATGTACATATTGTTCAAAGAGTGGAAAGCCATTAGTTAGTTTCGATTATTTTTTGGGTCTACGATTAATTTGCGATCATTTTTCATAGAAACTATACTGATACAACATAAAATACTGACAATTAATCGGATGATAATGGGCTCGCCGCTCGTCCCTGTCATTATTAAGATTAACTAGACCATTAACGGCGATTAGCTCTCGTTTTCGGTGCTGCTTTACTGTGGGTTCAATGCAAAATAGTCGCAGTTAACTATCGGCCGAAAAGAAAAGAATAAGCTTAACTAATCAACGGGTGAATATGGGTATGAATGAAAAGAACTCTTATTAAAAACCTGAATCTACATTCACATGGCACACAAACACCTACCCCCCAGAGAACCTCACAGTGATAACTATCGATTTTAGACATAAGAGTAACTTCAATACAAACTATGATGTTGAGGTTTTCGATGACTACCGTTCTAATATCATGGTGTATTTCATTACAAACGACGGTATTGAGTACCGCGATCTCTACTGGTCTCATATACCAAAGCATCTTCATACATTACCGCAGTATGTGTTACCTTCGTGGCTAACAGTTTTATAAACAGCGAAGAACTTTGCTTATTCTATCTGACGAAATATTAATAACGTCTAATAATCGTTTTCAAGTTACTGTTTTCTATTCATATCGATTTGCAGTGGGTTGTGATTAATTTATTGAAATAAGAAAAGATTAAATTCGCGGAAATCTGTTTCGTAGAAAACTGTTGTAAACAACGGTTTTTGGGATTTTAAAGTGGTATTACTCAGGATAATTACGGTTTCGTCATGATAAGCATGGTTAAGCATAACTTTCTTGTATATTCGTTTATGAAAACTATAGTATTAAATGTCGCACTAGTTGTCAGTTATACAGAGTGCACTATGCTCGTTGACAGCCGCGATCCAATGCAAGACAAAACATCATAGCTAACTATTCAGTTTCGACAGGTCGATCGTTACAATATAGTTTCATAATTACCTAAGACGCCTCAGCATAATTGCTAATGATATCGGGGAGCTTTCCTAAGGTATTGCAGATTTTCTACGACATCTTCTTTGAGTTTAATAGAAATCATGAGCACTAATTAGTTCATTCTACGTAGTACTTTATTTGTAAAGTAAGCATCGCAGTGTTTAAGGTATGTGCTTAACGCGGTATGTCCACAAACAACCCTAGTATCAAGTATCGAAGTAAGTACCGATTTTAGAAAGTTAAGTACCCTATGTTGTAGTTTTGCAAAGTATCAAAAGGCGGTAGTGCAGTTATTATTATGATAGTCATAATTCTGGCTATTAGTTTTTTTTTTGTAAAGAAAGCTTTCAATAAAACCATGCTATTTGATATTGATATGCGCCTTATGCCTACTATTGTTTCTACAGTTTGTACACCACACATATAGAAGTATGATAGAATGTCGACGAACGAAAAGAATTTCCAGGCTCAATATTTCTCAGAAATTTTACATAAATTTTCTTATTTTATGTCTCACTGAAATGCGACTTTTCTGATGGAATTTGTGATACTTCGCCACATCTCGTATCAAAAGATCAGCCAGGTGCACTCTACGAAAATTT